ATATGGTGATATCATAGTCTTTTAACAACTCTAACTACCTCTGTTGCCGCAAATTAAGGTCTTCCTGCTTGAACAAGTACTGGAGACACTGTTGGTCAGTATAGACCTCACAATGAATGTCGTACAGATAGTGCCTCCAAATCTTTAGCGCGTGAACAATGGTCGCCAACTCTAAATCATGAACAAGGTAATTCTTCTCATGAACCTTCAACTGCCGAGACACATAAGCAATCACCCTACCATCCTACATCAACACTGCTCTAAGCCCAATATTTGATGAGACAGAATACACGGTGTAAGATCCTAAACCTGTAGGCAACACCAACATTGAGGTTATAGTTAATGCAGTCTTGAGCTTCTAAAAGCTCAACTCAATCTCGTCAGACCATTTGAAAAGAGCACCCTTCTAGGCCAACTTGGTTAATGGGGCTGAGATAGATGAAAACCCCTCCACGAACCGACGATAATAACCCGCCAAACCTAAGAAGCTCTGAATCTCTGTAGCTGAAGTAGGTCTAGGACAGTTCTGAACTACCTCAATCTTCTTAGGATCCACCTTAATGCCCTTGGAAGATACAACATGGCCCAAAAAGGCAACCAAGTCCAACAAGAATTCACACTTTGAAAACTTGGCATATAACTGATGATCTCTCAGAGTTTGAAGTACAATCCGCAGATGCTGCTCATTCACCTCTCGACTGCGGGAATAAACCAAAATATCATCAATGAAGACGATCACAAAAGAATCCAGATAGAGCTTGAACACCTGGTTATCAAATCCATAAATACTGATGGAGCATTAGTCAAGCCAAATGACTCACTAAGAACTCATAGTTACCATACCGAGTCTGAAAAGTTGTCTTAGGGGCATCCGATGCCCTAATATTTAACCGATGGTAGCTAGATCTCAAGGCAATCTTGGAAAACTCCCCAGCAAAGGATACTTGTTATTGATAGTGACCATGTTCAACTACAGATAATCTATACACATCCCCATCGTTCCATTCTTCTTCTACAAAAACAACACCAGTGCACCCCAAGGAAAAACACCCCGTCTAATGAATCCTTTATCAAGTAAATCCTGCAACTACTCATTCAATTCTTTCAACTCAACTAGGGCCATACGATACGTTGCGGTAGAAATGGGCTGAGTGCCCGAAACCAGATCAATGCAGAAGTCGATATCTTTATCGGGTGTCATCCCCGAAAAATATATAGGAAACATCTCTAGAAACTCGCACTAAACTAGTACTAAATCCATGAAAGGAACCTCTGCACTTGGATCTCGAATATAGGCCAAATATGCAAAACACCCCTTCTCGACCATACGCCGAGCCTTCGCATAAGAAATAACACTGCTAATAGAATGGCCAGGAGCCCCTCTCTATTCTAATCGAAGCAACCTCGACATGGCCAATCCATGACCAAGATAACATTAAAGTGCACCTTATCAAGTAGTAGAAGGTCTACCCTAGTCTCATAGCTCCAAATAAAAACCACACACGAGCAATAAACACGATCTACCACAATAGAATCTCCCACAGGCGTGGACACATAGACAGGAGCACTTAAAGAATCATGAGGCATAACCAGATATGAAGCAAAATAGGATGACACGTATGAATAAGTAGAGCCCTGGTCAAATACAACTGAGGCATCTCTTTGGCAAACCGGAACAATACCTGTGATGACGACATATGATGATGTTTCCTGAGGTCTAGTTGGGAGTGCATAAAAACAAGGCGGAGCCCAACCACTCTGAACTCCGCCTCTCGGATGGCCTCTAACTGACTGGCCTCCACCTCTAACAACCTGAACACCACCTCTAGCAGCCTGGCCCTCGCCTCTAGCTAGTTGTGCGGGTGGTGGAGCAACCGGTGTCGGAATCATGGAATGAGTACCCTAATATGGTATGCTGCTCATCAATCTAGGATAATACCTCCTGATATGACCTGCATCGTCGCACTCAAAGCAACATCGTAATTGGCCTAACTGCTAAGTTTGAGATGATCCCTGATGACTCGAATGACCACTATAGTAAATTTGTAGCGGTAGTGCACTGATAGAAGATAAAGGACCCGTAAGAATCACGACTTCCCAAAGCACCATGTGCTACCTGAAGCGTTGACTGAATCGTCATGTGAGGGTGGCCTCTACCAAATGGCCTCTAAATGAGGCACCACTGAAATCACAAAAATGACAAGGCCTCTTCTCCGATAACGCCTCTCTACCCTGACCACGAAGCATCTCGATCTGTCTAGCAATCTCTACGGAGCGCTGGAAAGAAATATCATCCCTAGTTTCTTTGGTCATCTGTATCCTGCTACCAAAAGTAGGACCATCAATGAATCTCCTCACCCTATCTCTGTTAGTAGGAACCAAGATAGCTGCATGGAGGGATAGGTCCACAAATCTGGTCTCATATTGGGTAACTGTCATACTACCCTACCGGAGGCGCTCGAATTGCCTGCGGTACTCCTCTCTCAGAGTAAAAGAGATGAACTTCTCCAAAAATAGCTATGAAAAGTGATCCCAAGTTAGTGGAAGTGAACCTGCTGGTCTGCCTCGCTCATAATCCTACCACCACCTCTTGGTAGAACTGGTCATCTGAAACACTAAAAAGTCGACTCCATTGTACTCCACAATACCCATATTGCGCAATATCTCGTGGTAACAGACCAAATAATCATATGGGTCCTCAGAAGGTATACCACCAAAAAGAGTAGCAAAGAGCTTGGTGAACATATCCAAACTTTTCAATCCCTTAGAAGACATCGCGGGCCTCTTCCCGGCTATGTAGCAATCACGGGCTGGACTACTCTAACTACAGGAACTGTCGGAGTCTGGTACAAGGGATCCACTTGCTTTGGAGTGAGAGTGGTGGGAGTCTGGGCTACTCCCCTAGCTTGAGAGACACTTAGTGCCACAAGAAATACTCCAGCCTGGGCCATTCTCTCCATAAGGCCCACTAAGCAGACTAGGGCATCTTGAACTACGAGAGTAGCAATGAATCCCTTCGGGACTTAAGCGGGTCCGACAGGTGCAGTTTAAATAGGGATCTCCTCCTTATGCTCAATTTGAGGCTCTGCAATGGGTGCTGTTGCACGTGCTCTAGACTGAGCTATGCCTCTTCCTCGGTCCCTACCTCGGGCCTGCCCCCTACCCCTGGTAGTGGCTGCAACAGAGGGCTCTAGCTCCTACCCGGATGAAGATGTTGTACGTGTCCTCAACATCTGCGAGAGAACAATAATAGAATGGTTCAAACTTCAGTAAAGTCGCACGATAGAGAAAGAAAGAAGTAAAATTTTCCTAAAGCCTTATAGCCTCTAGAAGATATGTACAGACGTCTCCATATAGATCCTCCAAACTCTACTAAGTCTGCTCATGACTCGTGAGAGCTAGGCAACATAGAGCTCTAATACCAACTTGTCACAACCTGGAATCTCAACCTCAAGTTCGTGATGGCGCCTAACATTTTATTTGCTAGGCAAGCCAACGTTAGCTAATTACTTAACCAGTTTTAACAATTTAAAAAAGAACATTAATAATACGAAGTTGTACTAGTCTGAAATAGGTGTGATAAATACAACGTAGCTTAGTCTAAACATATCTTAGAAATCTAGAGTCACGAATACATGAGCATACTAGAATTCTACATATAGAGTCTGAACGAATTACAACTGCTCGAAATCAGGGAAACAATAAAGATAGGGTAGAAGGGGATTTGAGGGATTGCGAACGCCAGCTTCTCTACCTCAAGTCTCCGAAAATAGTTGAATTCGAGTAGTCTCTGCGACCAACACCAGTATCTGCACAAGAAGTGCAGAATGTAGCATGAGTATAACCGACTCCATGTACTCTGTAAGTGCCGAGCCTAACCTCGACAAAGTAGTGACTAGGAAATGGCTAGTCACTCACAAATTACATGTACGAAATAATAATACCAAAAAATAGGAATAGAAATAAATAAGTAAACTCATATAAATGAACTCCAAGGTCAACTACCAGAGGGTCCCAGAATAACATAATCTCATATCATAATGCCGAGAATAAGCTCTACAGACACAAACAACTACAACACACCAAGATCGTTGCGGCATGCAACCCGGTCCCACGTTTCAACATAATATCTTTTACAACGTACAACTCATTTCCAATATCAAATCATATCATTTCCTGTTCCGTTGCGGCGTGCAACACTATCTCCCAATATTAATTTATTTTAGTACTGTTGCGGCATACAATCCGATTCCCAATATCAATTTATTAACATAAATAACTCAACACCACTGTTTACGAGATATGAACAGAAAAGAGAAGGAAATGCGCGGAACATTAAAGAACTGCCAATAGAAACGAAGAATATCCAACACCTCGTAATCCCAAACCTTGACGATTCATCAATACAAGAATAGCTTAATGGCTCACGTAATCGAAATAACATAATAGAACATAATAGAGTGCATCAAGTAATATAAGGACAATAATAGCAAGTAAAATCATGTGAGATTGAGAATATATAATTAAGGCAAATAGGAAGATGTAGCAGGTAAGCAGAGACTGACTGAAAATGAGCAAATCAAAACAAGAATTAACAAGTAAAGATTAGATATCAGTAAGAATATGTAGAAATCAAAGCATATAACAAGAGATAACATGGAATAAATGAAGGCATGGAAGTAAATACGCGATCCCACATGTTTAATCCCATGACAGTGCATATACACTCGTCACCTCGCATATACGTCATTTTCCCACATAATTTACATAAGAAATAGTCCAATTAGTCCTAATTCCCTCAAGCCAAGGTTATACACAACACTTTCCTCGTTGCGCAACCAACTCAACAATCACCCACAACTTTTCCTTTCGAACAAGCTGATGGTAGGCTGTAATCTTGTGTTTTAGTCTCTTTTTACATTCTAATTTACTGCACTTTAATTGAGTTTGAGCGTTAATTGCTAGTGTTTTGCACTAATTATGTATTTTATGCCTTATAGGGGTGATTCTAAGCTATGTAGATGTTATGAAACTAATTCGAGCTAATTGGAGCTTTGAAGTCTAAGTAAAAGCACAAAGGAATAAACTAGAATCGTATTCAGAGGTCGAGGATCACTCCTATAATGTCTAAGATGTGTCACAAACAAGTTAAAGGGTTTGGATTGCTTTATGTTTTCCTTTAACTTAAACATTGTTATGATGAATTACTCTATATCCATGGAGTAGTTATCTTTAGGGTTTGATGGATTTTGTGTATTGATACTTGTTTGTGGATAACTAACTCTAGTTTTATGTATTGAAATCGTTTTGGATGTTTTAATCGTTGCATCTATATACACTTGTTAATGTAATCGAGAGAGGCATAACTTGTGAGATCTTTGCGTTATATTTTGTTGATTGATGTCTTAAATTATTCTTAGTAATCGGAAGAGGCTAGTTGAATTGTTGATTAAACATAGTTAGGAAAATAATCGAGAGAGGTTCTCCTAAAGACCAATGCACTACGAATTCTTGCATATATTCACATGCTTAAAATTGGTTTATCTTGTGAGGTTGAGACTTAATCGAGAGAGGAGTTTCTACTAATCAATTGAACTAATAACTAAGTAAATTCGAGAGACTCACTTGAACATTAGAAGTGAATTATCTAGAGTTAAATCCCAAATATTTATCTTGCACCTATCCTATAAACCTTATTTTCTCCCAATTGATAACTTTCTTTGCTTAATACTTGGGTTGATTGTCATTAGTCAATAGTTTAGACTCTTAGTTAATTCTAGTTTAAATCACATAAATCTCAATTGTTGATCATATTAGATAGCAATAAAACTATAAACTACGATAATAACTGTTTAACTCTAATCCCTGTGGATACGATATTTTAAATTATTATATTCGACTAGCGAGCATATTTTAGTGTATGTTTTCGCTCGTCACAAGTCTCAAAGCCAACCAAATCTAGCTAAATATCGTTCAAACAATTCAAAATAAGCTTTAGAAACTATCCACAAGTGAAAAGCATTCGATCTTTAATGAAAGTGAGAAAAGTCAACAAAAGTCAACCTCGGGGCCGCTTGGTCAAAAATGGAGATTCGGACCAAAACCCGATTACTCATTCACCCCCGAGCCCGATTATGTAATTTTTTTTCAAAATTCGACCTCAATTTGAGGTCTAAATCTCAATTTTACAAAATTTTAAATCTTTAATTTCTACAATAGAAATCCTAGATTTGATGTTAATAATACATGAAAAATAATGGAAAATTGAAAGAAAGTGGATTAAAGTTCTTTCCAATAATTTTGGGAAGAAGAAATTCTTGAAAAATAGCTTCTAGAGTATTTAGAGTTGAGAAATGGTGTAAAATGTGCTAAGTACCATTTTCCCTCTTTTACCCAGTTGCAGATGTCGCAATTGCGATATCTTGTTCGCAATTGTGAGCTCTGCAAATGCGAAACACAGGTCGCAAATGCGAACTGTGAGTCAGAAGCCCCGATGTCGCAAATGCGATAAATTTCTTGAAAATGCGAAGGTACCCCATCGCAAATGTGCCCAAAAGCTTCGCAAATGCGTAGCTCACCCATGTTGCTTGTGATCGCAAATGCGACCATTATGTTTGCAAAAGTGAACAATGACAGTTCGCACAAGCGAACCCATTCCTCGTAAATGTGAGGTCACCCAGCCCAGGCCCCTCTCGCAAATGCGAGCCATACCTTGCAATTGCGAGATCTACAACAGCCACCAGAAACAGGCAATGCACCAGCAATCCTCAAACTATCCAAACTCATCCGTAATGCATTCGAAACTCACCCGAGCCCCTCGGGCTCCAAACCAAAAATCACACAAGTGTAATAACATCATATGAACTAGCTCACGCGATTAAAAAACCAAAATAACATCCGGAACTACGAATCAGATATCAAAACACATGAAATTCAAAAGGGAACTCAAGAGTAGCTAGAAACACAACCAAGCGTCCGATTCCTATCAAACCAACTGGGAATTACACCAAATTTTGCAGACACGTTTCAAATAGAAAAACAGACTTATTCCAAGTTCCAAAACCAAAATACAACATGATAACCATAAAGTCAACCTACGGCCAAACCTAGGGGATTTCCAAACATTCAAATTGCTTACTTTTGGCAAAATGAGTCAAATCAACCTAGGGACCTCCGAATTCAATTCCAGGCATACGCTCAAATCCAAAATTACAATACCAACCTATCGGAATCATCAAAAGAGCGATCCGGGGTCGTCTACTCAAAATGTTGACCGTACTCAACTCAAGTTAGTTTTAAAGCCAAAAATCACATTTTCTTGAAATGTTAACGATGGAAATCACGTAAAAACTTTTGGAAAAATTTCTTGGACCATGCACACAAATCAAGAAGTATTAAATGAAGCTAATGGAGGTCTCAGAGCACATAAATAAAGGCTAATTCTCAAAATGACCTATCAGGTCGTCACAAGAAAATTATAGGATGAATTACTTGGGAAAATTACAGTTGCTTTGTCATGTTTTGAAGAAGAAAAAATTTTCTTTGTATGAATGGTTGTTAGTGATATAACCTTGACTTGCCTCTTTCGCTTCAGATTACAGTTATGCATTCATTCCTCGCACTTCTGCCTTTACCCTTATGTGCAAATACTAACTGGATTTTCCCTTTTATTTTGCATGAGTACCCTGGGCCAATGGAGTTCACTTTGAACACTATTGTCCTCATTGCGTTACTATTACTGATGTCTGCTGCTGATTTTAAATCGATGGGTCTGATTCTTTGTCAGCCCATTACAAGAGTCTAGCCTCCTAACTTTATATCACTGCCATTTATTAGTCCCAGTTGTATACTTGTGTTATGAAACTAATGCTAATATTATATGTTCTTATCTTTACTTTGATTGATTACCTAGGAAATAATCTTAGTATAAACTAATCATGTTGGACATAAGGCAAACACAAGGTAATAAGACTGACAGCTTGTAACTTGTGCACATGATAACCATTTAAAGAGTTTTCAATTGATCATTTAGGCAAAACTAGAAACGAAATATATTGGAAGTAAGACACGGGGCATTTGCAGCCATACCCTGTATTTATGCCAACTTTTAACCTGTGTCCTATTTTTAAAAATGATTGATTTGGTAGCCAGCTGACAAAAAAACCGTAATAATATGACAATTACACCCCTGACAAAAGATATAAAATCTACATCATGCATTAATCGCGTGAGATCTCCTCCTCCTCTCACCTTGAGGCTAAAACTTCATGCTAATGTAGCATGAAGTTGTTTCATGTTGAAACTAAAATTTCATGCTAATATAGCATTAAGTTGTTTCAAATTGAAGCTAAAACTTCATGCTAATGCATGCTGAAGTTATTTATCCTGCAGTCTAAAGTTTTGTCACGAGTTTTATTCGAAACTTCAGTCTAAACATGCTGAAGTTATTTAGTTCATTTGCTAAAATTTCAGACTAAACATGCTTACGTTTTTGTCTTGCAGTATGTAATTTTCTAATGAACTTTTGCTAATGCATGCTGAAGTTATTTAGTTCATTTGCTAAAATTTCAGACTAAACATGCTTACGTTTTTGTCTTGCAGTATGTAATTTTCTAATGAACTTTTGCTAATGCATGCTGAAGTTATTTAGTTCATTTGCTAAAATTTCAGACTAAACATGCTTAAGTTTTTAGTTCATTTGCTAAAGCTTCAGACTAAACATGCTTAAGTTATTTAGTTCATTTGCTAAAACTTCAGACTAAAGATGCTTAAGTTTTTGTCTTGCAGTATTAATTTTCTAATGAGTTTTTGCTAATGCATGCTGAAGTTATTTTGTTCATTTGCTAAAATTTCATACCAAAACATGCTGAAGTTTTGTCATGCAGTCTACAGTTTTGTCATCAGTTTTATCCGAAACTTCAGTCTAAGCAAGCTGAAGTGTTTTAGTTCATTTGCCAAAATTTCAGACTAAACATGCTTAAATTTTTGTCTTGCAGTATGTAATTTTCTAATTAGTTTTTTTTTAATGCATGCTGAAGTTATTTAGTTCATTTGCTAAAATTTCATACCAAAATATGCTGAAGTTTTACCCTGTAGTCTACAGTTTTATCAATAGTCTTTTATTAAAGAAGGGCAAAATCGTCTTTTTAAAATGCTTTTAACAAAAAAATGGGTACGGATGCAAACAGAAAAATAAAACGGGTATAAGTTAAAAATGGGCGATCAAATAGGGTGCCCCATGCAATTTTTACGTAAGACACGCAGGTAGAATACAATCTGGACCCGATTTTCACAAAGATAAAAAGTTATTTTGGAAATCGAATAACCTTGCTCAAACAATTCCTTTAAACACGGCTAAGGTATACGGATATTTCGCACGTTATTTTTAGTTTACAAAAGTTTAAGTATTATTATAAACTCATATTTTGATTACCTTTTGCATCAGAAAGCAACTTTAATTATTTTGGAAGCAATTTATAGTATAGTCTTTAATTAAATACTCCTTTACAAACTATTTTTGAACCTGTTATCTTTCAACAAATTAACGCCTAAACACCTTATAACTTTAAGATTAAGGAACTACTTTAGTGTAGATTTATGCCTAACACCTTCCCCTTAGAATAACCAGAACCCTTACCTAGATTCTCACTAGTTTAGTGGACCATCAGGATGTTGATCTTTATCTGACATATAGGTACCTAGTATACCTTTAAATATTAGGTGGCGACTCTTCTTTTATTAACCTCAAAGGAACCAAAAGTTGTGTTTTGTTTTAACATGTGCAAATTAGGGTGCAACAAGAAATAATGAGTTGCACGAAGAGTTTTCCGTGCTTGTGAGAACGAGTGATTGTGCACGAAGGGTGTTTTCGTGCTTTCTTTTTACATATCAATATCATTGTAGGAAGGGTCTTACCATGATTGAGAGGAAAAGAGAATATGCGTGAAGGGTGCTTCCGTGCTTGTTATTATATTGTGTTTGTGATAATGAGACTAAAAGTACGAAGGGTGATGCCATGTCTTTTGTTAGTATTGTTTTTTCTTTATTTTGCTATACGGATTGAGGATATGGCTATGTTGCTTCATGGTTATCTTTGAAAGGTTTGTTCAGAGTTGCTTGTGGAAGCATAAGTTGTGGTTTACTATAGTAGTATCTTCCTTTATTTTATCGTTCTATATCTCCTTATTATACTTGTTATCTCTCTCACATATTATCATCTTTCTTGCTATTTTACTTATTATCTCATCTCATTGTTTCTTGTTATTTCACGTTATTACTCGTTACATAACTGTACATGCTTATATGTTGGTGTCTTGTATTAGCCTCGTCAGCCTTGGCTCAACACTTACGGAGTACATTGGGTCAGTTGTACTCATACTACACTTTCG